TATCGTTAAAAATTATTTTTTTATTTTGTACAAACAAAATAAATATATTGAAAAATATAAAAACAATAAAAAATTATACTTCAGAAGTTAATTTAGTATCAAAAACGTAAAATATTTGAGTAGCCCAAGACATAGCCAAAGATTGCAGCGCCACAACACTAGCGAAAATTTAAATTTGCCGACTGGAATTCTTTCGGATAACCGACTTTCAGATAAATGACGCTCTACTGTAATTGGTTCCTGAAATGTGTATGAAAGTTGAAATGGACAAAAGTAGAGCAATATAAAAAAAATCATCAAAAAGGGTTTTCAAAATATTTACTTTTTATTGATTAGTATGTGATGTTTTCTTTAAAAATTTATCAAGAGATAATTGAATTGTACTCTTCTTTTTCTTTTCTTGATAAAGAGTTCTGTTAACATGCTGTGTCTTTTTCTGTTGCCCTTTGTACATGAGATATACATCTCCATTGGGATCACATTTGTCCATGATGATCAAAAATTTGTCAAAATGCATGAAACATGAATGCTAACTCGACATCCCTGTTCAAGACTGAACCTGTGATGCTGAAAATGGATGCAATTGATGTTTGAGAGGTGGGGAGGGACTAGTGACTAATAGTTCATGAGAAGGGGAGAATCATTACATGAAAGTACACGTTTTGCCATATATATCAATAAAAATCAAAAGTATGAAATGAGTATGAAATAGCAAATTGTACGAAGTAGAGGACTGCCTGTATTAGAGCATAGCTACATGCCTCTTTGGGCTAATATTAGATTACTGAGATAGTGCTATGACAAAAGAACATAATTCTTATGGGAAAATCTTTACTTTACATTGTGTCAGTTTCACCCTGTAATACCCCTACCATTGATATTCTGCATTTATGGATAGAATTATTTAACTAATTCACTTTGTAGGTGTTCTAAAGATCTTTACACTTGGGAGTTATATTTTTGTTGATAATTTCACATACATTGCATTTTTATTAGACTGTTCTAATTTTTATTGAATATTTAATATTCCAATCTCATTCGTTAACTGAATTTAAAAAGAAATGTTACATTTATTTATGTTTAAATTTTGTGTTCAATTTTTGCCTGATGATGAAGACTGTCTTTAAAAGTACCTGCAATTTTTAATAAATACATGTTTTTTAATGTTGGTTAGGTGTGATTTCTCTCCCATATATTTAAAAATATTTATATTTTGATAGAAATGAAATTGAAAAGAAAAAAGAAGAGTTGCGTCAGATGGTTGGGTGAGTTGAATTTCAGATTTTATCTTATATAAAGTAATGGATAAATTATATGTCTATGAATATTTATAATCATTTTTAATTAGTGAAAGATATAGAGATTTAATGGAAACTGCTGATACAATTACCGATATGAAATCAATAGCTGAAAATGTAAGTCTTTTTTATATTAATGTTCACTGTAAATTATTTTCAAATATAAAAAATAAATTTATATATTAACAGTAATTTTTAATAACAGAACAAAATATAACAGCTAGTTATTATAACTTTATTAATTTGACTGACTTGAGCATTTTTTAATACTAAAAACATTACTTTAAATAATTCACATTATGTAACACAATTATGCAATTTCTTGGAAATAAGAATTATTGATTGATCATTGTATTACAGATGTCATTATCAGTTAGAATGGTAGAGTCTTATGAGGTGGTTATCTTGACAGTATTGAACACAAAAGAAATAAAATCTGACCTGTTGTTTTAAATATTTGCATATCTTATGCTGATGAAAATAAAATTTTCTATATGAAGCTAGAAAGGATGAGAATATATTAATAAATCATGTGATATTGAAAATTAAGTTTTTGATATAAATTTAAAATTTCCATATATTTTTACCATAAATTATTATTTTATGTAAGTATAAGAAAAAAATTTTTGATAAAAAAAAATTATAAGTGTATTAATGAATAATTTTTTATGTTCATAAAATGTAAAAAAAAATTTAATATATAGTTATATGAAAATGCTATAAAAAAATCTCTAGAATACTGTATATCTGAATATTTATTTATTTATTCTCTTTCTTTTCTTCATATAAATGGAAAATCATCTATCAGCAGAATTATGTATACAGTAATACCTCGACTTATGCTACCCCGACTTACGCGAACTCTGAGTTACGTGATTTTCAAATTTCGTCGATTCATCTTTTGTTTGAGTGTCAAGCAACTCTCGATTACTCAATCCCTCCACACTATTGTTCGGCTTACATGTTCAGACGTGTTGCGCGGAATCGACACATAGCTACAATTTATTTTGTGTTATTTATTTCTGTTTGTTATATCTACGGAGACTTGAGAGACTCTAATTGGTGATTTCTTCTAACCGTGAATGAATCAAAAGATGAGATAAGATTAACGAGAACATTTATTAGCTTACATACATCCGACTTGGGTTTTACACAAATTGCGAAATTATACCCCGACTTACGTGGTTATCGCTTGGTCCCACCTATCACGTAAGTTCGGGGTATTACTGTATTATAAGAGGGGACTGTTTCCATTTCAACATGTTAATTTATGTTATATACTTCTAACTTCTCTATTTAAATCAAATTAAAGTAAATAAACTCATAATATTAAAAAGTCTTTGTAACGCTTTGATTAATGTTTTCAAGATTGATTCTCATCTTCAGACCATTATTTGAAAAGGTCTTTCTTTTTATTGATTATCAATTGAACAAATTTCTTTAAAATGTATTCTATTCTTTTGAAATTTGATCCATATTTCAGACTCTTAGTACTTTTTAAAACAGTATAATAAAAATAAAAAGGAAGTAGACCATAACAACTTAAATATAATACAATGTATAGTCATATTTAACTAAGCAACCATATCCATTTGATATAACATGATCTAAAATCATATGATGTCTTGTTAAGTAGCTGTTTGTTAAACTTTGCTATAAGTCTGCTGTTCCAAGGGGGAAAATCCGAATTATTTAAATTAACATAGTAGAGAGGATTCCTTCCATTTAATTTGCTGTTCTTTATCTAAAGCATATTTTGTATAGTGCCAAAGTGATCGTGTTTGTTACCAAGAAAGGTTGAAACAACACACAGATTTGATAGAAAACTTAATAAAAAATATGAAACTGATAGATTAGATTTCTTTGGTACTTTTTTAATAAAATTCAGAATATAACATTATGTAGACATAAAAGAGTAGTAAATGTTAATACAAATTTTCTCATTGAATATAATACCTTCAAATATTTCATTAAATGTATCCTTTACTCATTATCAATTATTATTAAGCATCAAAGCATTATAATTTATCTAATATGTACTCTGCATAAGATAAGATTTACAAGTTCAATTTTAAACTGAATGGAAGTTGGCACTGCAGACCATGTAATCTGGGGTTGAGTTTTAGTACTTCATTTAGAGAATTAGATTTTCATAAGATTTAGATCTTAAATTTTATGAGAACTATCAATATACTGTGTTTATAGGTCAATAATGAAAAATGGATGTCAAACCAAGTAAAATGAATTATAAAATTAAAAACAACAGATAAAGAACTTCTATAGAACCTATATGTGTTCTTTAAGAGTTTTTCTGTTACTCAAAAAATAATGAACATGAAAAAAACAAGTTTGTGAATATGAAAATATGGAAAAGGAATATTCCTTATAGAATGAATGTTAAGAATTAAATTGAAGTTACATTTAAGTTAACAAATATTACATTTTTTAAAAATGATGGTTTATTTATAAGCTTCCTATTCAAATCCATATATCATTAATATAATAAAATACAGTGGTACCTCAGGATATGAACGCCCCAGCATACAAAATTTTCAGGATACGACACAAAATTTGAACATATTTTTGCTCCACGATACAAACAAAAACTCACCATACAATGTTACATTAGTTCGCAGCACCATTTTTTATTCACTTCTGTTCGTCGGTCTCAGTCAGCGTGTTTGCTTCGATCGTGGAAGGATCTCGCTCGATAAAGGAAATCTTGAAGTATTATCAGAAAGTGACTGATTTTATTGAAAAGAAACATCCCGAAAAGGTTCACACTGGCCGTATTGCTGCTCAGAGTAATGACATTTGCCTAAGTCATTTTAGAAACTTTTTAAAAAGTATGAAAACCAAACCTCTTTGGATAGATATTTTACCAAGTGACTTCTATCCAATGAAAGTGCTGGTGGAAGTGAAGTAAAGAAAGCAAAAAGCAGTGAATAAAAATTAAAAAATAAAAATAAAAAATAAAATAACACTAAGTTTTTAAAAATATTTTCTAAGTTATTTTTAAGTTATTGTTACATTATGTTATGTAAGTTAAGTTTTAGTATCATTTCCCTTCTCCCTGTCTTCTGCCACCAATTTACACCTCCACCGTCGTTAATCCTCAAAGGGGAAGTGCAAATAAAACTATATTTTTTTATCAATTATTATTTTATTATGGTTATTTATACATTTACAACTACAAAACGCATTTTTCAGTGCTTTCCTTACTATAGTTATTTTTTTTAAATGTATTACTTAGCTTTAATTTGAGTGTGTTTTTCGTGTTGGAACGAATTAGTTGGTTTTACATGTAATCATATGGGGAAAAATGATTTGCCTTATGACATTTTCATGATACGATCTCAGTGTTGGAATGGATTAATTTCATATCCTGAGGGACCACTGTATTAATAATAATAAAATTACTTATTTTTTTATTGATTACAATTAAAATGATTTTATTAGTATAGTCTTTTAATATACATGTTTAATTCCATAAATTTTTATATTAAAAAATAATTACAGGTTACAAAACACATTAGTAGTATGCAGGAGCATTGTATGCAATTTCAACAATGTAATATTCAATCTGGAATAAAAAAAATAGCTGCAGAAAAAACCATAGAAAGGTAATGAAAAAGATAACTTCATTAAATGATATTTAAAAAAAAATTAATTTAATTTATCATATGTTTTTTTTTAGAAAACAAAAATTTGCAGTTACTTATTCTATTGCTGCTCAGACTAAAATCCTCATGGACATTCCAACAAAGGTGATTTAAGATTTTAAATACACAATTTTAACCAATTTGTTTCATATAATATGCTATATTCTTTAGATTTGGTCATACATGGAAGATAAAAATTACTTGAATTGTGCTCTTCTTTATTTATTAGCATGTCACACGCATGCTTCTTTACTGTTAGATCCTAGCCATAAACTTGATGATTCTTCTTTAAATTCTAAATTTCCAATAATTAATGATCAATGGATGGCAATTACTTCATTTCATAATGTAATTATTCAAGTAAGTGACTAAAATTTTATATTAAATATTTATTTGTGAGAGTGGGCTAAAAAGTTTTGTCTTCTCTGTGTTATTTTAGTTAAAAATGATTATTTCTAGTTAAAACTGATATTGGTAGTTTGCAGTAACCTCCAATTCTCAATTTGGCAGACTGCAGTTTAGTATGAATTAAAATGGTGACCTGTCAAAACATTTGTTTCAAGAAGTGGGTATTTTTTAAATTTCTTACAGTAGAAAATGTTGGCACCAATTGACATTTGTTGAAGATTCCAAGCTATTTATAGAGACCAGTGAGTCAATGTGAGAACTCTTGAGATGTTTGCTATCAAGACTTAAAGGTAAAGAACTGTGAAAAGGAGATTTGGCAGACAAATCTCCTTTTCACAGTTCTTTACCTTTAACTTAACAAATGAGTCTATCAAAAGTGATTGAAAAAAATGATTTATGAAAATTGTTGCAATTAAACAAAAAGAATCACAATTAAGCATTTAAATATTTTTGAATTAAGCATTTCTAAAGAAGGAGTAAACCACATAATCACATTTCTTGGATTTTGTAGTTTGTGTGAGATGGATATTGTGCACATTGTTGGATGAAATGAAGGCTGAATGAGTTGAATTAAAAGAACTCTTGGAAAGAGTTGAAGATAAAGGTGAAGTTTTTGAAAAAAAAAAATTGGTTGGAGAAATATAGTCCATTACTATAACCCAGAAAGCAAAAGGCAGTCCATGGAGTACATTCATGAAGAGTCATCACTACTAAAAAGTTCAAAAAATAACTTTTGGCAAGAAAGAGTATGTTGACTACATCTTGGAATATTCAAAAGGTTGTGTTGGCAGAGATTTTAGAAAAAGAGACCATAGTCAATTCTGAATATTATATTGAAACTCTAAAATATTCAAAAGTTGTATCAAGTGGAAAAAACAAAGACATGATGAAATGCTTTTCAGTTTAACATTGCCAGGTCACACATCAGCAGAGTTACTGCTGCTACCATTGATTTTCCTTGTTCCCACATCCAGTCAGGTCATACTCCAAATGACTTCAACTTCTTTCTAAAGGTGAAAGAACACTTGAAGGGTAAACATTTCAAATCTGATGAGAAAATGAAGTTAGCAGTATATCAGTGGATACAACAACTCCATAGTTTTTCAATAACAGACTTTGCAAACTTGTAACACACTCAGAAGTCTATTGAGATAGAGGAAATTATATTGAAAGATAATTATGTAATCTTGTAAATAAATAGTAAAGCTGCATTTCTAATTTTGTTTTATTAATTTATGTTAATTCATTGCTGTTCTATTAAAGTGACTGCCAAAACTTTTCAGTCTGCTCTCATGAAAAAATAAAAATTTTATTTTGCAGAATTGCCAAAATAGTATGGAAACAGAAGATGTCATAGATGGAGTAAGTTTTAAATTTCTTTTGAGATAAAATTAACTTAATGTAGTTATTTTTGTTTTAAAAATATTTATACAAATTTGATTACAAAAACTATACAGTAACTTATTAGCAATAAATTAAATTTTATTATATAAAATCAATTTTGTTTCTAATATTTACAATTACTGATAAACATTAAAAAGTTTTGAAGATTATTTTTAAACAAGAATGCTAATTATAAATTTTTTGTAATAAAATAAACTTTTAAATTTAATTTTTAAAATATATAAATGTAATTATATAATGCTTTTTCAGATGACAGAGCACTTCTGTTGTATTATGCTAATGACTGATGTAATGACAAGCGACATCTTCAATATGTTTCTTGAACGACGTCTAGTAAGATTAAATATTTCCTATTTTATTACAATTTCAATAAATTATGAAATGTTTTAACATGTAAATATATTTACAGACAGCTATTGAAAAATTGTTCCAAATTCAAGATCAAGGTAAGAAAATTAAAAATATTTTTTATAAAAGGAAAATTTGACAGATTTTTTTTTCATTTCTCAAATTAAAATTTTCAGAAATAACAACTAAGACACAAGCTTGTAATTTAACTTCTCTTCTTACCAGTACACTTTATCTGGCAAATAAAATATTCTATCCATCTTACATAAATGAATCTAATTATCAAGGTAAGTAGTGATAAATAAATATCTGAATTCTATTCTTAATTATATAAATTGCTTTAAATTATTTGCAGAAGGAAAAATTAGTTTATTAGTGAAAAAACTTCATGCTATTACAAACAAAAACAACTCTGGTAAAATTGTTATAATATATTAAAATGAAAGTTTATTTAAAAAATGTTTAACAATAATAACAAAACATTTATATTACAGGACCTCTGTCATTGCTGGATATTGAAACATGTTACAGTCTCAAATATTTACCTATGTCAATAACAGGTAATATTATTTATTAAAATGAAATGTAGAATAAAGTAACTAAAATAATTGCACTGATTAATAGTCAATGCAATTACTTTAGTATTAATTATAATTTAAACAATTTGTTTACAGATAAAATTTTTTGATTATATAGTTCATTTCTGTGAGTAACCCTGTACAAATGGCCATTTTGTTCTGTACATTTTGATTAAAACAAACTCAAACAGTTTTTTCACACAGAGAAATTTTTTGCTTCAAAAAAAATTATAAATACTTAAAATAAAATTAAAATAAAATGCCATCTAGTAGTAAATATGTGAAACACAGTGTACAGAATAACCTACAGTAATGTAGTGCCATCTATGAATGGAATGCTTTATAAGACTCATAAAATCTGAGAGTGACAATAAATCATCAAGTGATTTGTATCATTAATTAACTGCTTGATATATTGACAAATGATTGTAAAAGGTTAAAATAATATTTTTTTAAAAAAGTACTTATATACAGTAAAATCTGTAAAAACCAGAATTCAGTGGGACACTCTTGTTCTTTTGTCTTGGGTTTTCTGCCATTGACAGAATATATAGTTTTATCAATTTTCTATTGCTTTGTTGTTTATCAAATGCTCTAAAAACCTATCTTTTCTTATTTATGAGATAGGATAAAAAAAATAAGTTTATAATTTACATATGTTTATTCACATTGCATTTGTTACCATTGCAGTCCCAAGAAAATTTGTGGTAGAAAAATATTACGGCAATTTTATTGCCATAATATTTTTCTACCACATTTATTGCAGTAAAATATTTGTGCCTTTGCTAATCTGTAGGCATTAACCCATGATCACATGCAACAGAGGTGCAATTTTCTGCACCTAGGTCAGAAAATCACCTCTAGTTTTTTTGCAAGCATTTTTCACAAAGTTGATTTACTTAGCTGTGTTTTTCTGATATCCTCATGCTATATGTTCTCCACCTGACTGTGTAAAAAATTTTGGTTGAAAAAATTTTTCCTGCTTATCACAGGTCCTCAAAATGTCTGTGGAAAATCACCATCTATGCATGTGATTGTGTGTAGTTTTTTCTTGTTACATGATCACATACATAAGTTTACAGTTTCTGGTACAAAAAATTTACATTTCTGCACAAGGAATTGTTTGTTAAGTTATTGCAATGCAACATTTGGGTGATCTGCTTAGGGGGATGCCTTCTGGGAGGTCTTTTAAGGTAACTTGCCCTTATTCAGGTGTGGAGAAAACACAGAAAATTCCATGTGGCCAGCCTGTCCATGCGAGGCACAAACCCACAATCGAACTCCCAGTGTTCAGGGAATGGGACCACTTGGCCACTGGTGGGCTGCACAAGGAATTAGCCAAATGTTTTTATATATATAATCAGCAATCCACAAAGCATGCCAAACATTGAATGTCACATAGATGATAGTCAAAAATAACAACACTAAAGACTACACAATACAGACTTATCATATGCTTCAAACACTACAAAGTACATCTCACAAACCAAACAAAATATACCAGCACATTGAACAACACACCATCCTCATAGAACAACAAACAGCTGTTATAAAAATCACATGGAATGCAAATAACAGCTACTCATAGGTTGTCATTCTATGATAAATACACAGACAACACAGAAATCTATACATGGCATACATAGATTATAGGAAAGTATTTGACAGCATCTATGGTTATTATGCACATTGCACATAAAATACACCTAACACTTATGTTTCAAAAAGTACAATCAAATACTGGAGAATGACACCACACCTCATGATTTATGAAGTAAACCATTATACATAAAATAATATACATTAAAATAAATCAAATGTACGTAAGCCAATGCATTTTCTAGGAAGATTCTCTTAGCCCAATCTGATTTCATTTTTTCTTAAACATGCTATCTAATAGGTTTATTATTTTCTAAAATGTTTTCATTATTTATGTAATTCTATAATGATACAAATTACTTGATTAATTATAAATATAATTAATTTATTTTACTTTAGAATTTAGACCAAGATTGAAAACTACTCTATCTGTTGCAACTGAAGAAGAGTTAAAAACTGTGTGTGATGTATGGATTCAAAAGTATGAATATAATAATAATTTGAAATTATGTAATCATAAGCATTTTAATAATTTTATTACTTTTTAGAGCTATTCAAGTTATACATTCTGGATTGGAACAACAGTTACAATATATTAGTACAATTAAAGGACTTGCAACTATTCAGGAAGCAGTAATTGAACTGCTTGAAGAGGTAATTAAACAAAATTTTACAAATTAAGTTTTCTCTAAATCAGTGTTAATTAACTTATTAATGAATAAATATAATAAACAATTCACTTATTAATATTTTATTTAATTATTTTTTAAAGCATTAAAAAATACTGTGACTCTGATTTATGAGTACTTAATGTAGAAAAGCCTGATATAATGAGCTATTTTCCTTTATTTCTCTTCTTTATTTACAAGATGAAATATTTAATACAACAAATGCTGACTGATATTTATGAGATGAAATACTTGATAGAATGAATGCTATCTGATATTTAAAAGAACCAAATTGTCTAATCTTGAATGTAATGAGACTGACATTTTTATGCATTATGTTTAGATGATTTATAGGTTTCAGTATTATTTTGTTTTATTTAGCCTGCATATAGACATTTTTTCTCCAGTTTTCTAAAATCACATGAACCAAATTCTTAACAATTAATTTTAATGAACTTATGTGTTTTTGTTATGTTCAATATAATTTTAAGAGATGATAAATTGATAAATTTATCAATATAAATACTAGTTTTAATCATTATAAAAAAAATATATATTTTTAACTATTTGAAAAGTAACATGCTGAAATATATATCTAACCCTCAATTTATGTAGTATTTGAATTATACTATTTTGCAGTCAAAATGGGACAAAATTTATTTTATACAAAAGATTTGTATAAAATAAAAAATGTTATGAAAATATTTTCAGTCTAACACAGCATTTTAAAATATTTTCAGTATTTTAATTTTATTAATAAAAATACTTAATTTTAAAATAATGTTTTAGTATATTCTGTTATAATGTTGCAGCCATTTTGCTGCTACTTTCAACTTGCACATCATTCAAAGAGATGGGATTCTCCATTTTTGTACTGTGTCTCAACTAGGGTTTCTCATTTCCTGATCTTTTGCTTGTCCCAGGATTCCAGGATAAAAGTGAACTGTATCCTGGGAAATCCCAGGACAGAATTAATTATTTTTAAGATATACAAAATATCATGAAATCAAATGATATAATTATTTTTCATTTTTTAAAGTAATTTAATATGTTCTGCAACCTCCAAAATCATATTAATAATAATGTGTCAGATACATATTAAAAATTACCTTTGAATTACATAGAAATTTGCACAAATAGAAAAAATTTATTAAAGTTTGCTGGAAACTGCATACAACAACAACAAATGCTTTGAATTGAGTTGAAAATTTAAAAAAAAAGAACTTATATTTAGATCAAACTTCTAACTTAAAGAGTAATTTTTGTTTTTTAAATAAAACATAATACAAAATAGTATTGTAAATTTTTATAATAAGATTTTAAAAAGCAAAGATGGTCAGTACTCCAATCAGTCGATCTGGTTCTTATTTAACTAATGAAAAGTCCTGCTACCATGAATGTCTTTTCTGATTTAATTCATGTGGGTGGAATCATCTTTAATGCATTTATGAGAAATGAATATTATGTGTTTTTTCACCTGTAGCCTGAAAGATTTCTAGTTCGTTTTCAAGATTGTAGTACTTATTTTGCTCTCTAATATTCTTGATATGTCTACCTTGGTTGCTTTAATAGAAATATCAAGCTTATAGCCCAATAATTTGGCAGTTTGTTTGTCTTTAATAATCAGGTTTACGAAGAAAAACTTCATACTTGCAGACTTCGTACTCGTTTGTATTCTTGCCCAATTTGCACAACTTGATGTTATGCAGTTATTGAAGCTACTGGGCATGGTTAAAAATTAAGACAGCATAAGCACAATTATTCCAGATATTCCAGGTTCTGACAAGTAAAGAATTTTCAAAGTTCTGCCACAAATAAGCTGTGTATTGATTATTGACCATTTGTGACATTCCATAACAAGCAAAAATTAAAAAAACTAATAAGTAGGTTTAAAATTAATAAATACAAATGTATTCTGACAGTTTATGAGTTAATTATACTTTCTATTTGCAAAATTTCCTCAACCTTAACACAAAATAAGAAAAAAGTGAACTTTTAAGAAATTTGTGGGATTTTCTAAGATGAGAATTTCCTGGGTTAAAAAACAACCAGGATCTCGTTTGAGAAAACCTAGTCTCAACCATAGTTTCCTCTAAACAAACCAATAGCACAGAAATTTTTAAGAATCACATATTGAAGAATAAATTGTGCAATTACTGTGATAGCAGATATTAACATTTTTGTAATTATAAATAACAATAAACACCAGTTTTTTGTAATTAGTGTTTCTTGTAAGTTGTGCAGCTATTGCTTGCAAAGTCACTTAATTCTACCTGACTTCATAATCTGTGCATCTGCTTTCTGGCTTAGAAGGAGTGGTCTTTACTTTGCATCAAACACATAAAATGTAACTCCATATCATAAAATGTATAAAGAATTAAATAGAAATAAAAGTAAGCTTTAATATGAGATTTTATGGAGATAAGTTCATTGTCTTCAGTAAACTAATTAGAAAAAACACTGGGATCAAAGAAGTTAATAATGGAAATGATGCAAGAATGAAATTTCATTTTCATGCATTTTATAATGGTCAATAAAAAATGAAACCTTAGAACTTCTCTTGCTATTTTCCATATAAATGTTAGTTTCGATTTACAATGAACCAAGCTACTGTACAAAAATGTTGGGTGTATTTAGCATTTTACTTAAATGATTATTGTGATTAGTTAAATATTCAATATTTTAATTGAATTTTTATTTCTGTATTTAATTTTTATAAGACTATACTATATTTCATAATGCAATAATTGCATATAACTTTTTTCTGTATGTAGATATCTGAAGAATGGTCTGACACATGTAAGCATATACTAAATTCTTATGTTGATGTATGGGATACATTTTTTAAACCTGTTTTTATTAACAGAATTAAGGTAAGTAATAACAATACGTGAACTGTAGATACTGTAATGAGGAGGAGGAAATATTATTTTGGTTTTTTTAGGCGATTATCTCTTCTCATTTGAAAGAAGCTATTAATGTTTGCATAAATGATATTGATAAAATATTAGAGGATTTAAAAAGTACAAAGCCAGAGTAAGTGCAAATTATTGTTTGCTTAGAAGAAAAGTTTCAAAGAATTTATTAATGGATTATATTTTATTATTAGACAAATAGAAATTCTTGAAAATGAACTTATCAGTTATATTTGGACCGAATCACCGTTAGATTTAAGCCCTGGGTTAGGATGGTTGCCTCATTCACAGAGACAGTTATGGGATGGTGGAAATATAGGAATGAAAGCAAAAGGCTATACACCAAAAGTTCAAAAGTAACTATTATAAATGTTTAATATAGTGAAAATATTAATGTAAATTGTTCAATGTATAGGATTTTTAATAATTTTTTTCAATTATTACAATATTTTCAGAATTTCTAAAGGATTAGATAAAATGTTTGAAACATTAGTAGAAGATTTATCCCATTTTAGTTCTCAAAGTAGAAAGTATGCTAATAGCAAAAAACTATTTACTCTATCTAAATCTATAGCTAAATTAGATCTTGAAGACTCTCCAGAAGTTCATTCACACTTGATAACTGTAACAGCTAATCATATTAATTAGTAAGTAGCTTAAAACTTAAAATAAATAAATTTATAAATTTTATGTACATTGTTTCTTTATTTCAGTCTCTTAGCTCATATTAAGGAACTCATTGACAAAAGAGATTCAGAAGATAAAAATATAAAACTTGGGTAAGTGTAAAAATTCAGTCTAATAACTTGAATTTAAAGCCAAATGATTGCTGGATTATTGGGCTATATTAGTCATTCCCAGCTGGCACCATGGAGCTATAATATCTAATTGGAATGGCAGTGCTCTGTTATTACTAATGGTGTACTTGAAGCCGGAGGTAGCTTCGCTGTAGAACAAACTGCCATATTGTGAGGGGAAGAAAGTTTATCTTTTGAACTCGATGTTGGAAAAGATAAAGAATAACATAAAAACAATAAAGAAAACATTCAGTTAGGTTTATTTATCATAGGCAGTGCAACTGCATTTCCTATAATATGTTTCATACGTATATCTCTTGCTTCAGTCTCACTTTTCTCAATTTTTCCTTAGTCAATCTTGATGAATTTTTTTTTTTATTCTATTCAATGCATAACATGATTATAACAAAAAATGTTCATCTGGCATTCTAGTCAGGCCTCTACTAGTATTAGTTTTTGATGCTGTATCTGATTTTCCAACCCAGAAGTTTCTATGTTACACAAATGTTGAGTTACACCTTACTAAAAATCTCAAGATTTTTTTACCTGGTGTGGTTCAATTGAAATATATCATATTGAAAAACATTCTTGAAATTATCCAAGGATATTTTTCAAATGCTCTTTTTACTTTCCCTGGTGTTGTAAATACAGAGCAAGGGACATAGAAAGGGAAAGTATTGGAATTGTGTCAAATTTTACCCTTAGAGTTTTTTGCAAATCTCTTGCATGTGCATGTTTGTGTGGGGTGGCATTTATTTTGTTTAATATCTCAGGATGGGGCAATGGTTAAGAAAGGAAATTTATTATGGTAGTAGCTTATATATAAGGGGCATTGATGCTATTAAATTTTGGGGGTTAAATGTCAAGAGGGTGGGGAGATAGAGGGGGAGTCACTTATCATATTTTGAGAGGAATCAAACTTAATGATGATTTTACTCGTTATTAGCATTTATAATTTTTTTTATATAAAACTCATCTCTACCCTCAAAATTAAGTATTTTGCCACTTTATAATAATTAATAATATAAAAAGTTTTTTAATAAAATGGTGTAATGGATGACACCACACACAATTTTATTCATTATTATTAAAAATACAAAAGGTATTCTTTAAACAAAATCTAGTAACAGCTGGGAAAATTATGCAACTTGTTGCAGGATTTTTCATTTTTGAAATATTTAATTTTTTGGCTGAGATAAGCTAATTTTCATTTCATTGTAAAAAATTGTCAAGAATGAAAAATTTCAGCTATATGACGAGATTTAACATAAAAAAATCTCTTATTATTTATAAATGTTTTGCCTTAAATTCTACTGAAGCCAATAATTTATGTTAAAAGTTGGATTTTGATAAATCGTAATTTCTATAGGCAGCACTTTTCGTCATTCTTCCATATTTAACAAATAAAAATAAAGATGTAAATTTACATATACAGTAAACATATGGTACTACTACTCATTGTGTTTTATTTGGGTTACAAGTAGTGTATGTTGTCAGTTAAATAAATGAAGTTTAAAATATATTTTCCTTATTAACTATAAAATTTATTTCCTATTGTTAATTTTAAAGCTTTTCTAATGCATGTGGTGGTGAGTAATACTTATTTGATGCTTTTGAGTTAACCAAAAACCTTAATAAATAAATGAAAAGCAGAATTGCTTCATCAAATTACAACTTTAAGCAACAAGCTTTCTATGTTTCTTCCATGCTCAAGATGGCAACTTCTGTCCTACATGTGCATATACTGGCTTCACTTGATTCCAGGGGCTGCTGCTCCAGTATTATGGCTCTGTGGTTGGTGCTGTGAGTGATGAGTATGGTTATACATAAATTACTAATAGTTTTGGAGGTGTAGATTGCCTATCTACGCCTCCAAAACTATTAGTAATTTAGAGGTCTGGGCAACATTACTGGCAATTCATCTACACAGTAAGCAAGAGTTTCAGGTTTGAATATTGCTCTGGGCCAATTCTTTTCTTCCAGAACCTTCAAAATTAAAATTAAAAATTAACATATTTATAATTATTAAATTTATCAAGAGATGGTGGCCTTACTGCCCACCTCTAGCCAAATTATTTTATATTTAATTTTTAAAATTAGCCTTAAAATAGTCTGATATCCGGCAGATTGCTCAGTTTGGGTAAGTGTATTAGAATAAAATTATTTTAAATTTAATGATTAAAAGTGATTACATAAGTTTATTATTTCTTTTTAGATTGTTATTTTTAGGTCAGTTTTGTTGTAGTTTAATTGATTTATGCCAACATATTTGGTTATGTTTAGCATCAAATAATTCATCTGTTGTTTCATATAAAACAAAAACTGGAAATGAAAAGGTAATTAAACTAATTATTAAAAATTAAACATAATTATTAACTAATTTTGCATTTTTAATATCAAAATTTAATTGATTTATTTTTGTTATGATCATAAACAAAAGATAATGTTAATAAAATAACTACGTATTTACCGAAAAACCAGCAAAAATTCACTTCAACGAACATTTTCCACCGTCTTCAACGGTCATCTTCAGGTTCGAATTCCAAGAGTTCAAAAAATTCAATATTGAAGTTATGTGCATGCCCAATGCAGAGCCTTAGTAAAATTATTGTGTAACTGGTTTCCTGCTTTTAAAAAATTCCGATGTTTATATAAAACATGTAGACTTATATGACGTGCATCTATTATACATCATAATACACCCTCCATGCCGTTGTCAATGAGTCCATTTCCTTGAAATTGATGGCTGTTCCCTTCCTGAATGCTTTAAAAATCTCCAGCTGTTCTAGATATTTGAGTCTGACCTGGTGTTCACACAGTTGTATTAAACATGCATTATTAAAGTCCACCCTGATGTCTTCATCAAGCACGAAAGAAGCCAATGCCATAGTGGAAAGGCATTTTTGAATTGAGTATTTGTGTTTCTTGATCCTTGTTTTAAGGCAGCATGCGCTAGCACCAATATATTCACCCAGATGATTCATAGGGATAGAAATATATTCCTGGAACAGAAGGAAGGGAACAGCCATCAATTTCAAGGAAATGGACTCATTGGCAACGGCGTGGAGGACGTATTATGACGTATAATAGATGCACGTCATATAAGTCTACATGTTTTGTATAAACATTGGAAGTTTTTAAAAGCAGGAAACCAGTTATACGAATAATTTTATTAAGGCTCTGCATCGGGCATGCTGCATAACTTCAATATTGAATTTTTTGAACTCTTGGAATTCGAACCTGAAGATGACCGTTGAAGACGGTTGAAAACATTTGTTTGAAATGAATTTTTGCTGGTTTTTTTGGTAAATATGTAGTCATTTTATTAATTTTCACACCAGTAGTGTTGGTGTGATGGATGATTAAAAGATAATGGATGATTAAAAGATAATGTCGTATATAATTAATTGAAGTGATGTTTTTCAAAAATATTAAAATTTAAGCTAAAATCTTTCAATTTAAATTTTAAAATAAATATATATTTTGAATATTATACATGTTTTAACTATTATATATAATATACAGTGTCCCCTAAGTTTGAAATGGAACCATAGGGATTATGCTGATGTTTATTATTTTACAAATAAAGCATTGTGCTGAGTAAGGAAGAACTAATTCAAATTATTCTGATAGTGGGGTCCTCCAGTTGATGAAGTCACTGTGTCATCTAGACCACTGTGTTTGATTGGTGAAAAGTCTGGATGCAATAAACTCTTCAACAATTCTACACTGATTGTGGGGTCTCCATCATCAAAATAACTTGAATTTGTTCTGCTTAAAATATATAAATTTTGATAGAACTTTGTAAAGGATAACTACAAATTTTTCTCTTTCCCAACATCACACATTACAGGTAAACTATGTTCTATGATGTGTAACAACATACTGATGACTATTGGAAGATCGAAACGCATTTATGATAAAAATTAAGAAAGTCTTTTAATACCAGTTTATGGTTATTTTAACAATCACCTCGGATGAAAAGTCAGGAAAGTGAAAAGGATAACTATGAAGTTTTATCAAAATTTATATATTTTTAATATAATTTTAAGTAGTTCAATACCCAACTTTGGTAAATACAAAAAGTTAAGAATAATTTTTTTTAATAGATTTGAATTTGTTCCTCTTTACTCAGTGTTGTGCTTTACCTGTAAAAAAATAAGCAAAGATAAACATAACTCCTATGGTTCCAAACTTACGGAACAACCTATATATAGTTTTTAATAACTATTGCATTTTGTCTATTGATAAATCTATCTAATGGTATAATAAAAACCATATTATGACTCTTTAATTCATAATAGAAATTTTTTATTGCATAATTACTAAAGATGTGGGAATTCATGAGTAAGATTAAATTGTACAGAAATAGAAAATTTTATGAATATGTTTTTACGTGCTTCAAGAATGATAATTTTAGAATTATCCAAAAGCAAAATTGCAGAAAAATTAGATTATGCAATCTTAAAAACAACTATAGTATTATCAATAAATGATTTAAGGGTTTTAACTTGCATATCTAAACCTGTAATTTACAATATACAGGTATCCCTCGGTTTACGCCGATTCACAGTAATGCTGCTGCACAATTTCCCATTTCGCAGTGTAATTTCCTGATTTTCCCTGTGCTAGACTGATTTTCATTTCAGTATTGACATATTTACTGAGCCGCAACATTGTACATTCGTTAAAACAAAGATTTTTATTGAATATATTTATTTTTTCTGTTTAATATGATTGGGCATGTATACATTTGCATTAAATTAATATTAAAATACTAAACGTTTAGGTTCCCACGAGTCAAGTTATTAAACTTAATAGTCCAATAAATGTCGTCTGAATCCAGAGTGCTAATGAATGCGAATAGTTTGTATCCTGTATCAGTTCATTCAGGAAAACACCTTATGACACAGTAGTACTTCTGGCAATCACAAATTACCGTTAGTGAGACAAAATCTACTTCTTGTTGGCAAGATGATATCTAACTCTCCTTAGCGAGACGAAACCAACTTCAATTTTTCTGCCCAAACTGAATTAATAAACAAAATTATTTGCTTATTTTTCACTTATGTAGAACCTAACCCTAGACCTTACTGTAAATATGGGTTCATTTTACGCCTATTTGATTTGCGCCGGCTTTTGTGGGAGCAGAACTGCGGTGTAAACTGAGGGCTACCTGTATATTTATTTAGAGTTTGGGAAAATAAAAACAGAAAAAGTAAACATTTTTTAATATATGCATATTTTAGGAAGAAAAATTATGCTGGGAACGTGTAAAAGCTCTTATATCAGATCATAGTGATATAACTTACAAGTGAGCTTTTTGTCTTTTATTATTTTTTTTCAAATTATTAAATATATGCTAATTTAAAATATTATTTTTTAGAACTTGGTGTAAATATGTTGTAAGAAAAGAAGTAAATAAACTTAGAGAAATATTAAATGATTGTTCTCCATCTTCAATTCTTAAATTTGTTGTGGTTTGTATAAGAAAATTATTATTATTATTATTAATATAAAACTTTTATATCTATTATAAGAATTTTAACCATTAACTAGATTTATGTTCAATTTAAACATTATTAGACATAAATGAAAATAATAAAATTTTAGTTGATCACATATTATTCCAATTATTTTATTACCACATTGGCCTGAATATTAGTCAATGCTTTTTCCCAGTTTTAAAGGGACAAAAATTCTGTCTCAACCTACTATATTTACTCAAATGTAAGATGCACTTGGGTCAGGTTTTAGTATCTCTGAAAATAGGTACTGTGCATCTTACATTTGATATAATGTCATGATTAGCTATGTTTAGTTCTGTGTGTCTTATTTCTCTTGCCATTAATTGCATTATGTCATTTTAACGATTTTATTATGCCAATATTAGTAATATAAAATATTTACGAGGTAAACTTAGCTCAATCTTGTTAAGTCTCTTATGGTGATGATGTAAGTATGGGGATGAAAATACCAGAAAAAGTTGTGCAGCACTTTTTCAAATGTTGCATTTCTGATGCTTTAAATGACACTGAGTATGATTGCATGTAGGAAGATGTAAAAATCAAACTCAGTGTTGATTAGCATAGTTTTAATTTACTAAAAATAAAACTAATACTCAGGAACATGACTAAAACAGCATTACTGTTGATTCAAAAGAGTCTAACATGCAAATTTTAATTGAATAAATACTGATTCTGCTGAAATAAATTTGTCCTGAGTTGTCTATTAAAAAAATCTTGGGCAAACACACAGAAATTAAGGTGTACCTTAGATTTGATGGCATCTTATATTCTAAAATGAAAGTGTTTTGCAAATATAAACATCTTAACGAAAACTTGATACATTATAATAAGGCGGTGTTGCCTTATTATAATGTATCAACTTTTGTATGACATCACGCTAAATAATTATAAATAACTGATAAATTTGACCCTAGAGGGTGGTGTTAGGTGCCATCTTGTATCAAATTTAATAATTTTAGATTAAACTGGAAGAAAAGAATTGGCTTGGAGCAGGACACGAACCCGCAACTGCCATTATTCTACCCAGACCTCTAGTTCGATCTCTTCCAGTATAATTAACATATCTATATTATTATATTGTAACAGAAGAAATTCTTCCACAGTTCTGCAAATACATAAGATTTTATTTCTCAAGCATTTTTATTTGTTATTGAAATAAATACCATTAAGTACAAAAACTTTTCCACTTCAAAATGATTTTATTGATGGCGATACACAAAACTAATAGAAGCTTCAGAATTTCAAGAAAAATTGCATTGAGAACATACAAGAGCAGTTGTTTGGCATACTGAAAGTTATGTCCAAAACACTATTTTGAGTTAAGGGAAGGATGATCTACAGAGCACATTACCTTATATATAATATCCTTGTTGGACACCAATAATATACTGCCATTTTAAAATAAGATGAACAGATACACAGAATGCATTACCATGCTTTTTTGTTTATACAACCTTTTTCTTTTGAGTCCATGTTGTCTGTTTGGGTTCAATATCTTATACAGAAATTACAGTACAGTAGAACCTCTATAATCATCATTAATCTGTTCCTAAGGATCTAATGAATATGGAAAATGACGAATATAGAAACAATTTTTCTCGTAATAAATAACTGATATTCAATTATTTCCACCATAAAAAAAAAGATACAAGAATAAAAATTTGTTGTTTGTAAAACTTTATCATACTAAATAAATACAGTATTGTGGTAGAAGGGGAAGAAGAGTAAGCTTATTATTGTTTAGAAGAAGACATACTATCAATTAAAATGTTAGATAATTCCAATTATGATCTCGGCATATTAAATTTTTTGGCTAAGTTGGAAACACTAGAGAGGTCGCAGCCAAAATTTTCATCTCTAAAACGTGAACATCAAATGTTGAGTGACGCCATCTTGTAAGCCTAGAAGTTTGATAATGGCATTTGGAATGTCGAGCATTATTCCAATGACATTCCGAACACCATTGTCAAACTAATAGGCTTACAAGATGGTGGCACTCGACATTTGACATTCACGCTTTAGAGATGAAAACTTTGGCCTCTCTATTTCTAAGTTTCTATTTCTATGCAACCTCTCTATTTCTAAGTTTGAAAATGGACAAAGTAATTTTTTTATCTCTATTGTTGTTCTAACAGCTTTCCGTTTTTTTTTTTTTTCCTGCAGTGCACTTTGTTGGAGCCATTGGAACTTGCGTTTTTGAAATAATCAACGTGAGAAACCAAGAACACACACCATGACCACACAAAGCAGACTGATTAACTACAGCTATCTGACAGTGTTGCCAACTCAAAATTCAAATTTATAGCTATATATTTTAATAAAAATATCCAAATCATATTGTTTTTCCATTAATATTGTTTGAGTTTTTGTAACTAGATAGCATTATAAAAATAGCTAGACCATTATAATTTAGGTAATTTGCATAGCTAGATTGTTCATAAATGCAAAAAATTAGCTAAATTGGCAACACTAAGCTAACACGGCTCAAGATCTAGGACCTTGAACACAGCTAGCTGATTGGCATGAGCATGCAATTGTAGCACCATTGCTGGTGTTGGAAATGATGACAAATACAGAAAATACTGACGAATATGAGGGGAAAGTCATCAAAATGTGATGAATATAGAGGTTCCATTGTAATATAATTAACTACTTAAACTCTGAATCACTTTCATGTAAAATTTTATTCAGAGTAGATGGGACCTTTTGTAGTGGAGTGACAAATTAACCAGTTTTTACTTAATTAGTATTACTGATATTTTATAAAAATATTTAATTATTATTTTAATACAGAAAAATTTACTTTTAAATTAAATCTATATTATTATTATTTTAATAAAATAGCAATGGGATAAAATAGAAATTAAAGAAGAATCTGAAGATGGAAATGTTGTAAAATCAACCATTTCTATTCCAGTACAAGTAAGTTTTAAAAATTAATTGAAGAAAAATATTTTTGATATATAGTAAAACCTGCATGAAACAAAATAACACAGTATTATTATTTTTTTTTATTTTGAACAAGTTTTAGTATTCTTTTTCTTTAAATAATACCAGATAAATGTCACACAGTTAAGTTCATTTTTTATAATAAAATTCTTTTTACAAGTGTAAAAAAAATTTATAACTAGGACTAGTCCAAATTAATTCAATGTGATCCTAACTAAAGATGGCAATATTCAAACAAAAGAATTGAGAACTGTTTGATTGCAAAATTTTTTCATGTGCTAGGTATTTAAATACCTCAGATGCAAAACTGGTGACTTGCTCCACTGTCAATGTCAAAAATTCTAATCACATTACAGTAATACAGAGACCAAATTATTTTATGATCTGACTTCTTGACGAATTTAATACTCTAAATTTCTAATTAATTGTTTACCTTAGATTTTAATTATTGGCATGTTGATCAACTTGTTTTTTAATATTCTGTGCTGGTTAGTTACTAACTACTCTGTTCAATACAAACTGGCAGCAAGACTATCTTATTTTCATTGTTAGTGACAAATGTGATTTATTGCTTGTTCTTGAGAACTCATTTGCTTCTTAAAAGTTATTGTTTTTCTCCCTGGTTAATTCTAACAAAAACTAATATTTAATATTAACAAAGATTTTTATCTGCATGCCCTCTTGTCATGTGATCTTTGTTTCTCTGACAATGTTCTAAAATCATTCTCAGAATATAGTTTGGCATTCTTTGCAATGACTGTTATACATTGAGGCATGACCATTGAGAAAAGACAAGCTAGAGATAATTTGGAGGCCCCCTATAAATTAATGTTATTTTTACTTTTAAAAAAATATATTTATGAATGCATTTTTTAATTAATAATGCATATATTAATAAAGAAACATTTTACATATTCCATTTTTTAAAAAAAGGGACCAGCTCTATCTGGGTTGCATACAAGTACTCATTTGTCCTGCCTGAAGATTTTATTTATTTGTTTACAAGTGAAATTTTAATTTCCTGTTTTATTCAGGTTAATTTGTCTTTGTAGCTAGAAACCTTTTCTGTTTCTACATTGGACAGATTTCTAGCTTATAGTAAACTTTAATATAGAAAATTGCTTCATTTCAAACAATTTGTGAGATTAGTGAGATTTTATGTAATAAATCCAGTTAGAGTATGAAGAAATGTTAAGTAATTTGGCCTAGAGATAGGCATTAAACACTATCTCTTATTAAATTTAATAATTAAAATTAAATTAATATTTATTAACTAATTTAGAATGTTCTAGAAGAAAAGAATCTGCCCAAAGTGGGACTCGAACCTGCAACTGCCTCTTACCGTCCAGATGCATTGCCAGTTACACTACCCGGACCTCCAACCAACCTCCTCATTTCCATACCCATAGCTTATGAATTACTACTGTGGCACTCAGCTAGCTATTGCTTTACCTTGGCAAGATGTTCATATACAAATATAAAGATCTGTAATAATTAATCTGAACTAATAGTTCTGGAAGCAAAGATCGGATGGAGGTCCAGGTAATAATTGGTAACTCATCCACATGATAAGTGGCAGTATAATAATAAGAAAAATAATCTAATCTAACAAGATTATTTATTTAACGAATAATTTTAGCTTTTTAAAACTCATAATTAAGATTTTATTTATGATTTTCTCAGAATTAATCTGAAAATGGTTGTGAGAAGATGAAAATTTTTGTTAAATAATCTTTGCTGGATCAGAAAATTAGTTTCTCTATAATTTTAGAATCTGTTAATAATGGAAACATTGTTTGCTTATGTGTTAAACAAGTTGTAATGATTTTTTAATCTATATCTATACTAATATTATAAAGAGGTAATGTTCGTAAGTATGTAAGTTTGGATGTAGCAGGTAATCTCCGAAACTACTCATCCAATTTCAAAAATTCTTTCACCAATATTTAGAATGGAACTTCAGGGTAGATATAGGCTGTATATTATTCCGTAAACTTTCATATAAATTAAAACATATCATCTAGGGCTAAGGCTTTTATGTGCAACAGATGGCACCACAAGTACGATGCCCTAAGTTTGCATTTCTGTGAGGCATTATGATTTTCTGTGAGGATGAACTAAAGCAGATCATCTTCTGTCTATCTATATGAATAAAAATGTAATGTTCATTTGTTCCTACTGATTCCTTTGAAATTTTGACACAACGCTGCATTTGAATGCACACAGTGGTGTAGCGTAGTTTCACAGTAAAATTTCACAATAAATAATAATAATATCAAGCCTACAATAGTGCTACCGCCCGGACAGTCCGAGATGAAATTACATGTTCACCGTCCAGGTGAACTAGTAATTTCATCCGAGTATATCCTACGCAACCTGTTGACCTTTTTTTTTTTTCCTTGTACGATTCGTTCGCATTCATATACATCACCAATATCCAATAGAGCTATTTTAAACAGGTCGCTGCACTAGCACAGAATTTTTCATTGCTTGTTCTGTGACAAAACTGAATTTTAGTCTTTTAAATTGAAATACCTAAATAAGGGGGCGAAATTTTCCTCCGCCCCGGGCGGCTGACACCCATGCTACGCCACTGAATGCGCACATGTTTTTATATAATATACATGTCAAAATTTCCCACACTGGGGGGAGATGGACAGGATTAAGGCTTACAGTAAAGAACTGTGCTTCTATTTATACTACAAATATTTCAGATGTGGTTTTTTATGTTTTTGATTGCATTTTAATAGGGTACGTCAAGAGAATGTACGCTAATAAGGGATTTTTTGAAAAATCTCCCCCCCCCGGGAAAGTGTTATACATTTATAATACAGTAATACCCCGACTTACGCGAACCCGGAGTTACGCGATTTTCAAATCTCGTCGATTCGTCTTTTGTTTGAGAGCCACGCAACCCTTGATTACTCACTCCCCCCACACTATTGTTCAGCTTACATGTTCGGATGTGTTGCGCGGAATCCACACATAGCTACAATTTATTTTGTGTTATTTATTTCTGTGTTTGTTATATCTACGGAGACTCGAGAGACTCTACTATGTCATCCAAACGAAGTAGAACTAATTCTTCTGCATCAAACAAGAAAAGAAAAACTTTATCTTTGGAATGTAAAGTTAACATTGGGTATGTTCGTAAAGTCGAACGAGTTAAACGAGAATGACGTCATCGTTATTCCTATTTCGTTAGACTTTTCGAACGATTCGTTACTAACGCGTTTAACTCGTTTGACTTTACGAACGTACCCATTATTAAAGACTTCGATACAAAAATGAAAATTTGTGAATTGGCAAAGAAGTTTGATCTACCGGAATTGTCGGTCAGAACAATTATAAAAGGCAAAGAAAAAATTCTCGAAGCTGTGAAAAATGCTCAATCTTTAAATTCAAGCATCATTCGTAAACGTCACAGTATTATCGCTGAGATGGAAACAATGTTAAAATTATGGCGTAATAATCAAGTAAATGTGAAAAATTGTAAAATAATATAGGCCTAATTTGTTATACATATGTATTATCTAAGATTTTATTAAACATTTTTTTCTAAATTATTGTTTTATTTAGTCTCTGGCCCCAATTAAAAATTATTTGTATGTATTTATATGCGAAATTATACCCAGACTTACGCAAATTCGACTTACGTGGTTACCGCTCGGTCCCACCTATCGCGTAAGTTCGAGGTATTACTGTAGATACATTTTGAGCCACAACAATGCGTGACAGGGCCGACTAGTGTTTTATAAATGTTTAAAGACTCCATAATATAAGTAAGAAGTAAATAATGATGAGAATTGATGATTCCTTAATTTGTGATGCAAAAGTGACAACAAAAAAGCATTATTATACCATATACAACATATCTGTAAACACATACAAGGATAAAAAGTGTAAAACTCAATTTTTTTATGCACTGCCCTAGTGAATTTGAAGAATTAAAAATTTAATTATGTCAAATTACTGTAATTTTTTTGTCTTTTATTTTCATAATGTGCTTTTCTCGAGTGTGAATCTTACATTTTAATCTTCCTAGAAATATTTAAATAATAGATAATTTTAAAATAGATTATTTAATTAATATTTAATAATGTTTTTCAGATATCTCCACAATTACACTCTGTGCTATACAAATTATGTTGCAGTATTAATAAAGCCGGTGGACATGCTTTAAACAGGTAGCGTTTAAAACATTATTTATTTGTTTATTGAAATTTAAGATGATGAAAATTAGAATACTGCCCCTGTAGTAAGTTGATGCTATTCTAATTTGGCACACCTCATTGTCTTTGTATACAGTACAATTAATTAATTTGATTAAAAAGAGATTGAAATCATTAAAATTTTAATCCCAACAAAAATTTTTTTAATTAATAATTTCTAAAAAATAATCGTCATCATTACAGCAAGTTTTTCAACTTAAGATAAATTGATTTCATATTTCAAAATATCAAAATCAAAGACACATAATTTGTCAGACTATATTTAATATGAAATTATTATTTAAAGAAATAATATTTTGTTGTTGTATAATATAATGTCATTTTTTTCACAAAATATTGAATTTTTTTTCTTTTTGTAAATTTACTAGAGACATATTTTATTGGAGTCACAAACAAAACACAATGCTTTTGAAGTACTTTGGAAAAAGTTATATTTTATATATGACACTGATACAGTAGTTTCTTGTGAATTGTCATATTCAACTTCATCATAATGTTTTGTTTTCGGTTTATAGTAAATTCAGAATCAAAACATCTAAATAAATGATATCTAATCCTGATTAAGTTTAATACAGTGGTTGCCAAAGTGGGCACTACTGCATCCATGGGTGGTGAGTAAATCTAGGGGGTGAAAAGAAGCAAGTGGCAGCAGAGGAGTGCTGAAGACAGGGTACTGAACGGTAACCATTGGGGTAACTGACAACCGTTTCCTTTCCTTTATTTAAAACTAGTAAGAAAACCATTGTGTATATAATAAGTGGAATAAGAATAAATAAGGTGAATTAAAAAGAATCAGTTGGGAATTAATAATAATTTTTTTTTATTAAATGTAAATTGAAATTCAAAATTGAGTTTTTACAAAATTTTAAACATGACTGATGATAAATATGAAATGATTTATCATAAGTTGAGGATAAAATTTTTTATTTAAGTTTTTAAATTTCAATCATTGAAAATATTTTTAAAATATAAATAAATTAATTATAAATTAACAATTATTTATAAACATTGGAAATTAATAAAACTTTCATCTAAATGTGACAAATTTTTTAATAGAAAAGTTATTTCCATTTGATTTTAGTTATAAAGGAAAAATGAAATATCCTGTCAGAAACAGACAATATCATAAAAATAATCAAATTATTTCCAAAAATATATATAAATATCATAAAAAATCTGATCAATGATTCTCTTACAAAAATATTATTTTTTCTTATTTAAACTGATGAGAAAAGTATTTTTTCTATGAAAATATATAAAATTTAACCAAATTTATTTATAATTGTATTGTTTTTTAAAATTTTAAAAATGCTAAATATATCTTTATATTAATTTTTATAGATCTGTAACTCAAGGTTTGGTCTCGGAATTATTTTGTTGTGTTTTACCAATTTATAAGAAGGCTGCTGAAAAAAAATTATCAGATAATCCTAATCTTATTCAAACAAGAGCATTACAAATGATGTTTGATATCAAGTTTCTTGTTGGATTGATGGGACCGAAAGAAAATTCCAATCATCCTATCCATAAAGACGTTGATGAGATAATAACACAATTGGAAAATCAAATAGATCCTTTTGATTTGAATGTTTTTACTCCATTACTTCAAACAAATTTACGAAAAGTTGTTCATCGATCAATGGTATGATTTGAAAAAGTTTAATTAAAATTCTTTTATTACATATTAATTTAATACACATCTATATCTACTGTATACTAATATATAAAGCAAGAATGTTTGTTTGCTAGAGGTAATCTTGGAATCTACTGAACCAATTTTTAAAATTCTTTCTCTGTTGGAAAGCTCATTCCTTCCAGAAAAACATTGGCTGTATACTTTTTCTTATTAAGAAAGGAAAATGCATGAGAATGATGTTTTTACCAAGGTATTTGTCTCATATCTTCATTTGTCAGTTTCATTCAAGGTCATCACCTGGTGGGCTTTATTAAATTTATTATCTTATATTTTTGGTTTTGGTTTTGATTCCTACAGTTTGCATAGTTGTTTATATTGTCATGGTCAGTTGTTTCTTATAATAATACTTTTATGTTATCAGATAATTACAAGTTGTAAGTATCTGATAACATAAGTTGTCTTTTCTTCTCTGTTTAGATAAACAACATTCTTGGTCAACTCAAATCTACTATAATAGCATAAGCAGATGATATTAGAATAATAAATCATAACCCAGACATTCCACCAAGACTTGCATCATTTGTCAGAACTCTTTCAACAATATAATCTGAAAATTAACACCCATAAAACTGTCATAATGTACTTCTCTCATTCAGAATACCCCTCTTTCACCATTTTATATTAATAGAAATCCTTTAAAATATGTCATTTCTATAAACAATCTTGGCATAATTTTTGACAATAAACTTACATTCAAGAGTCATATTGATAAAATAGTAAAAGCATTAGCAATATGTCATGGCATCTTCTGGTAGTTCTGTAAACCTACCTGCATGCTATTTTTTTTCACAGATCTTCAGTCTGTTATAGGTTACGGTTTATTGATTTGGGCCATGACTGCCCCCTCTCTTTTAAGTAAAATCACAAAAGAACTTGACAAATTTTATTTAACTTCAAATTTACTGTGCCATCTACACCATACTTATAATCCAAATGTTGCCAGGTCCAGATTGGGTCTTCTGATCTTTAAATATCACATCAAATACTTTGACCAATTGCACTTCCATAAATATTTTAATGGAAATGTATGGTTGGCTTAGCTAAGTTTAGGAATTCTTCAATGGAACTTGCATAACATATGTGTTTTTTACTCCCTTTTATAGATTAAGCATTTATCGAAGATCATATTTTTATTGCATCTGTTATAAAATGATAGATTTTGAAAATTTACTACATGAAGATTTTAGTTATTTTAAACGTGTTTATAAACAAATACTTTATAATTCTTATTGTTTAATATTTATGTCTTATTGTTATCTTATCAATTTTTTTAAAAATGTTTTATTCATTTTTTTTACACTTGTATTTTTATGTATCTGGGTTATACTGTTAATTGGGAGTGGAAATCTTACATCATATACATGACATTTCCATTTAAAAATTATAAAATAAATAAATAAATAATCTAAGGAGTGAATTTACTTCCCTTAGACGAAACTAATCTTTTGTAGTTAGGTAGTCTATTAGTAAGTAGTAGGTATTTTTGTGTGTTCATTGTTTTAGTATTAATCCTACCATACCATCATTTAAAAATAAGAATTAGTCTTATGTTATCAGATATCTACCTACATGAATTGAATTCTTTCAGTTACTTTTTGGGTGTACACATGTGAGTGAGCCTCATTGGCAATAAAATGCCTAAAAGAAAGTTACAGTTGTCATGAACATCTGCTCTAAATCAAGATGCAAATGTCTCTCTGGTGCCCTACAAGAAATATGAATTACCATAAAACTCTGATCCTTCACTCCTCTCTGATTTCATCCCCTATTCCCAAACTCCCAAACCTTTTGAGCAATCTGGAGAAATTTTGATCAGTTACTCTCTAAAATCTTTCAAAAAATATACTTTAAAATTTGGACCTTGCTTCATCCCCTGATTTCATTCCCCACAAATTGTCAAACCCTTTGACTAATTTGCATCAAATTTTGCATAGTAACTCTCTTCCACCCTGTGGGAAACATATGCTACCTTATAGTGAGGATGACTCAATCATCTCCCTGACTTCCTGGGCAATGCTAGGCACTCTTTGTTAGTTTGAAATATAGCAATGTAAATATGTAATTTTCCAATGCTTAGAAAACATTTAGAAAAGTTGAAACATTCAATAATCAGAACTTAATACATCAAATGTATTATCCTTTAATTATATAGGACTAGTTATCAATTGAACTTTAATATTGTCACACTTAAAATTTTTCAAGTTAGATTAATTATATTTAATATGAAAATGAGTAAAAGTAAATTATAGAAAAAAAAATGACAAAATGTGACTAATCAAAAACTAGTTTTTTAAATTTTTTGGCTAATTACAAGTAAAGTTTTGAATTTATACCATTTTATAAATATTTTAAAATGTTGAAATGTATGTTTTGAACAGTTTTCATTTATTTTCTAGCGTTTTTATGGTTATAAAATTAATTTGGAGTTTTGTTATTTACGTGTAAATATTTTTAAGGCAATTATCATTTAAAAAATAAATGCAATTTAAAATATTAATAAAAATATTCTCTTTTAGCCATAATCATTTTATTTGATATTTTTAGACTTCAGAAGAAAAGAAAAGTTTAATGTGTAATTTTATAGCAAACATATAAAAAAATTCTTTAAATTCCTCATTTAAATTATAAATGATCTTTAATAAAGAAATTATTTGCCACAAAAAAGCTAGTTGAACACAATTATTTTTATATTTATAGAAGCAATACTTTAGTAATACTGTATCCTAAGACCTTGTTATACAATTTTCCATAAATAACAGTAAAAGTAAAAAAGTTTATATACAAACACAGTTTTGTTCTGCAATTATTAAGAACAAGTTCAAAATTTATAGCTTCTGCTAGCTTGCTATGCCATGATGATGATAGCAGAACTCGTAGCAGGTCAACTAAAGTCACAAATTGTCACTTTTTTCAACGTAGTATCTTTACATTTCTGGAAAGCAACAGTTTGAATTTAATTACAAAAGTTTCTTTTACTGTTTTATTAAATGGGATTGCCTAACTTCAAAATAAAGCCAGTATTGGTCTCACCAATTGCTTTAATATTTTGTGATATTATTGATCATTACAAATGATCGTGCATTTACTACATAAGGAAGTTTTTCAAGGAACTTTTTAGTTGCTTTTAGTGATGTGGAGCAATGCATGTGTGAATTTTTGCTATGACTTTACTTTGACTAGTATTACAGATTCTGTTCTCCGTTAATAAACACAAATGAATTTCAGATTTTATTTTATATTATTAAGTGGATCTGATAATATTGGCTTATAAATAGATCTAATCATGGTATGGAATTTTTAAGGCCTGAATGTACTTTTATGGATAACTATTATAACTTATACTTTTAAAATATATATTTACATTATATAGTACACATATAATAGTTTTATGTGATTATGATTAAAAATAATAGTGGTCAAAAGATTATATTTTTACTTTCCTGGCTCTGTTACATGTAACATAGAGAAATTATAGCAATCTATCAAAAAATGACCCTCCACAATTATGTTTTTTGGACTTGGACTTTGAAATGTTAAGAAATGCAAAAGTAGTTTGGAGTTTTTCTGTATGTATAGATGTTAGTGTGTTCGGGGCTATGAATTTGTTCACCCACTTTGAAGCTTAGTAACTCCCAAGATTTTTGTTGAAAATTTGTGAAATTTTGTAGGGAGGTTTATGTATTAGGGAGATTGATGCTATTAAATTTTGGTGATTAAAGGTTGAGAAGCAGCAAGATATAGGAGAGTTGTGTGTCATATCTTGAATAGGATTGTACTTAATGAAGATTTTATTTGTCGTTAGCATTTATAATTTTTTATAAAATTTATCACTACCCTTAAAATTAAGCTTTTTGCATCCTTTAATAATAAAATCTTAAAAAGTTTTTAATAGAATATCATAACAGATAGTTCTACATGCAGTTTTAAATGTTTCTGAGAAAGTTAAGCAACCTGTTACTGGATTTTTTTGTGACAAGATAGACAATGTGTATTCAGTTTACATTACTATCATTTTGACACTATGTTTGAGGAACTACTGCTGAGGAAGCACACTATTGTTAACATCATTGTGTTTAGTTGCATAATTGATATTGCATTTTCAGTCTTTACTAAGATTGTCAGTGGCTACTTTAAATATAATATAAGTTCTCTTAATGTAGATAAGCAGAAGTATCAGTGCACGTTATCAATAATCATATTTCCCACTTTAAACACAGTATCTGGTCACATAAGTGATGCCATGTTTAAAATGTGGAAAAGTAATGCCATGTTTAAAATGTGGAAAAGTAATGCCATGTTTAAAATGTGGAAAAGTAATGCCATGCTTCTATCCTATTCTTTTAAAAGAATGAAAATATATCTGGATAAAAAATTTGGTTTTGGTTCCTTGAATTTAGCATTTTTTCTCATCGTAATTATCTATGTTAACTTTTTGTTTTACTTCATTGTAAGGAAAAGAATATTCATCTTAGTAATCGCAGCTTGTAAATAGTACTCTGTTATTTCACATTATGAATTTTGTTCATCTATTTACACAATAGGCTGATCTACCTACAGAAAATGCTGAAAATGATAGCCATTATATTCTAAACACTTATCCACAAGTTTTTCAACATTTCAGACATAATTGCCTATATTGTAATAGTAAAGTTTGTCCTTAGTTTATCCATAGTATGCTTATTGTTCCATAAACTTTTTTCTTCAGAAAAACCCATAAAAAGTCCAGACTTGAGGTCCGGAAATTATGGCAATTCAATGCAGTCAATTTGCTGCAAGGTTAACTCAACACAAGTATTATAATTGCTGGATTTGAAGAACTGCTGCTGAGGAAGTGCACACTATTGTCAACATCACTATGTTTGGTCACCTAAGTGTAAAGTGAAATTTATGATTTTATTTCTACATTTGCTGCTTTCATATTTGGAAGTTACATGAAAAGATAATTT